GGGCGGCTTTCTCTATCTAACTGTGGCCGCGTTCTTTGCTGGTTTAGTGGTCAGTACGTTTCGTTGGCTTTTGATCGACTCGATTCATTCGCTTACAGGGCTCAAGCAGCCTCAGTGGAATTTTGCCAAGCTTGCCGATAGGCAAGAAGCATTTGCCATGTTGATCGATGCCCACTACCGCTATTACCAATTCTATGCCAACTCGATGGTCGCACTCGCAATATTCGCGATCAGCCGCTGGTCTGTGCTTGGCTTCTCTGGCTGGGAACTGGCTGTGGGTACTGTGCTGGAGTTTCTGTTCTTTGCCGGTTCGCGTGATACGCTGCGAAAGTACTATCAGCGTGTGGATGCCCTACTTGCGTCGGCTGCGGGGTGAAGCGGGCTTTTGCTGCGCCACTTGCTTTTCGAACTCGGCAATAAAGTCGAGAAGTGACACATCGAACTCACTCAAGATTGATCGTAGCTGCACTACATCAATGCGCAGCTCTCCCCGCTCCAGCTTGCTATACGCCGACTGCGTCATTTCCAGCCGCTCGGCGAGTTGCAGTTGCGTCACGTTGGCCGTTTTGCGCTTACTGACAAGCAGCGTCAGTAAGATTTCGTACTGCTTGGAGTGAACCGATTTATCCATTCCGACTCTTGCTCTGAAAAGTCGGAGATGCTAGATTCCTAGATGGAATAGTCCAAAATGGAATCTTTTTTTCCCGTCCTTAGAACCGAGGTGTTGCGATGACCAACGGAGCCAAACCCCACAAAGAAGAAGCAAAGGCCAAGCCAAAACAGGCTGACAGCAAGAAAGCCAAGCAGCCCAAGCCCGGCAAGTCGAAGTGATCGACCTAGCCGACGGCCTATGGCAGGCCACTAGCTGGTTTGCGATTCATTCGCCAGCGGGACAAGCAGTCGTTTGAGCCCGCGGTGATCTTCCAGTACAGACTCGCGAAACGGGTCGACGGAAAGTAGCCGCTCAAGATTGGCTCCCAAGAAGACGCGTCGCTGCGGTTGCGTCATTACTTCACCGGCAGTCTGCAGGATGTGCTGCAAGCGCAGTTCGCTGCGGGTCGTAATGAATATCACCAGGTAACGGTTGGGATCGAACTTATCATACTTCGACTGGTGAGCGTCGTAGCCGCGCAGCTTGCGCTCGATTGATTCGACATCTTGCTTGGTGCGCACCCGCTCGGTGCCATTGTCGAGCTCAATAATGAATGGATACGTGTGGCCGTCTTGCCGGCGAACAACCAGGGCGCAGTCCGGTGCCATGACAAACTGTCCAGTTTGAAGCGTAAAACTATTTTCACGAGCGAAGTGAACGATCTGACACCCATTGTTCTGGGCGGAGACGCACAGGTGTACGATCGTTTCTGACAAGCAAAATGTGTGATGATGATGACCAGGTTTGATCGCTTGAAAGTAACGGCGCTTCGGTAACGTGACCTTGTCACCATACAGCATGCGATAGCCTTGCTGAGTCAATTTCCAGTAGCACGGTGTACGACCGTTTCGGCACATGGCGTACGGAAAACTTTGAAGTAAACCAGCGCTGGCGAGTTCGCGCAAGCGCCTGCGCAAGTTGGCTTCATCGCTGAACGGACTCTTGAACGTAACACTCAGTCGGCAGATTTGGGCTGGTGTTAATGGACAGCGATCGAGAGCTGTGAAAAGGTCAATATCACGCGGGCCGATTCTCGCGATGAATTCCTTTGTCATTGAACGAGGAAGAGCGTACCATGAAGTGCATCTACCTTCACTAAAATGACGAACAATTTTCGTGGGTTCATGAACGTTGACGAGCTGATCGAACGCACATCGCTCGATGCGGTGCTCAGTCGCTACGGTTTACCACTGGCATCGGCATCGGCCGCTGGTGAGTATCGAATGAAGTGCGTCTTTGACGAAGCATGTTCCGAAAGTACATACGGCAATCTGTGTGTCAGCTTGGATACAGTCAAACGTATCTATTGCCATACCTGTGGCGTGCGTGGGAATTTGTTGACCCTGCTGTTTGGCTTGGAGTATAAGCGAGCGCCCGAGGGCGGTCGCTTACGAGGGCAAGAGTTTAAAGACGCCGTTTGCGTTGCTGCGTGAGATCAATGGAATGGCTGCCAATAACGTCGTGGCAACAGATTGCCAGCCAGCAGCGGGCAAACCAGCCAGGACGCCGGAATCAGTTACCGCCGAGTCACCTCCGCCCAGCGAAACACTGTCACCAACTGCTCCCCTGCAGGTGAACGTTCCGCTCAAGCGACATGAAAAAGAGGCGGCCCGGGCACTCGAGAATCTTTATCAGGAGCTTGTCACTGACGTAGCGCAAATGAGCCCTGAGGCATCGGCCTACGTTCGCAAGCGACCATGGCTGACGCCCGAACTCATGCAAAAATGGGGGCTGCGGTTGGATTCCAGGCAATGGCCGAAGTCTCTTTCGCAAAAACTACTTCGTGTACACGCATCGCAACCAGCGAGGCAATGTTGTTTCCTACTCTGGTCGCGATCTTTCCTTTGAGAAGAAATGGGATCAATGGTTGCGTGATAGCAAGCCCGAAGGCAAGAAGCCGAATAAGCATCGCTATGTAGCTGGCTACCACCGTGGTATTGAGCTCTTTGGCGCCATCGGTTCACGATTGGAAGAGCCCGCGATTCAAGAGTCGCTTAAGGAGATCGGGCTGGTTGTGGTCGAAGGTATGAACGATGTGATGAGACTAGACGAACTTGGCGTATGTGCCGTGGGTCTTTGTTCGAACCGAGCGACTGATACGCAAGTTGGCCTAATTACCAAGTTTGCGCACCAGGTTGCCGATGGTCGCGTGCTGCTATTCCCCGATCGTGACGATGAAGGCACTGCAGGGTTCAAAGAGTTGCTCTGGCAGTTGGCTCAAACAGAACTGCAAGTGCGAGTGGTTCCACCGGAGATTGCGGCTGGCGCAGGCAAGCAACCCGAAGACGGAACAGCCGAAGAAATCGCTCAATTGAAGGGCTGAACGAATGCAAGAATTGGCCGAATCAGAATGCTGACGGAGTTGATGCGAGAAGCCAAGACGCTCAATATGCTCGATTGGCCCGCGACGCAGGCACTCTATGCTAAACGGGATCGAGCTATAGCTGAAGGTCTCGTATCCGCCGATATCAAGCCACACATGTTGCTCGTTTTCATCGAGCGGTGGATGAACGAAGTTGAGCCCGACATGTGGCGTGAAAATACCAGCCACCATATGACCGTATTGGACGCAGATGAAGTCAGTGATGAAATTTTTGGCAACGTACCAGCGACACTGTGTCCCGGTTCAATCTCGGTACCAGTAACGGACGATGTTGTGCTGCAATGCGTTTACGATCAGACACGCCTCGATATGCCGACGCTCGTTCACTTTCATGCAAATCACGAGGGCATTTCTAAGTATGTCCGTGACGGATACATCGAGACCTTGCGACAAGGCATTGGTAAAATCAACGTGTTGATGATCGGTTTACCGCGGACATTGTGGTAGCACTGGCCGAGCGAGGCTGTTTCGGATGTTGCGCGATGGCTCAAAGGTCTTGCAACATCTGGGCATAGATCCTGCGACGTGCATAGGCTACGGCACCGGCGTTGGGGTCAATCTATGCGTTGGAACTGGCGAGGCTCTGTCCTACTCTGGCGGGAATCATCATTGAAGGCGGAATCGCTGACTTCGTGGACGTCATACTTCGCAAAGTGTCAACTTCGACCCTTGACTTGCTGACACAAGACAAGAAGGCTCTGGGCACCATCATCGGGATTCATTTTCATCCAATCATGAAAGTGAAAAACTATCGAGGTCGCATGCTCGTGATGCATGCACTGCACGACAGTTACATCAACGCGAAAAACGCCGAGCAGCTTTACCAGAACTCTGGTTCCGAAGACAAGGAGCTACGGCTATACGAAATTGGCAATCACAACACCATCTTCTCGGACAACCAACAAGATATGCTCAGGGCTATGCGCAGGATTTTCGCTGCGGCCTTTCCCGAACAGATAGCGTTGCCGACGGATGATGCTGGCGAGCTTTGCCAAGTTCGAGTGCGTCGGTCAAGTGATGTCTAGGTAACTTCATCCAAGTGCCAGCCGATGTCTGAAAAAGCAGAATCTAGTGCGATTACCGAGTTGATGCGATTGGCCCAGAGTGTCAACGTACTCGATCGCGGAGCAATGGAAGACCTGCAGGCCAAGCGTGACAAGGCCATCGCGACGGGCTTGGCTGACGAGTCGCTTCGGTACCACTTGCTCGATATTGTTTTACAGAGGGCAATCAGCGAGTTCCAGCCAGAATTGCGAAGGGAGAACTCCCGCGTCCCCTGTGCAACTCTTGACGAGACAGCAGTCAATGAGCATTTATTCTTCCCAAACCACGCTGAATTTGCGGATGCGGTGTCAGTGCCAGTTACCGACGATGTTGATCTGAGGTGCCACTATCATTGCCCAAACGAAGATGCGCCAACTCTCGTACATTTCCATGATGCCAGTGAAAGTGTGGCGGACTACATACAGCGTGACTATGTAACGCGAGTGCAACAAGCGATTGGCAACATCAATCTACTGATGGTCGAATACCGAGGCTACTGTGGCAGTCAAGGTCAGCCGAGATTTGCTCGTATGCTGAGAGACGGTGAGATGGTTCTGAATGCGCCTCGGCATTTATCCCTCGCGATGCGTCGTTTACGGACGTGCGCTGGGTTCGATCTTCGCAACCGAGTTAGCGTATCGGCAGAGCGCTATACCTGCGCTAGTGATTGAAGATGGCATCTTCGATCTGTCTGAATACTTTCGGCGCTCGCCGCAATTGATGCAGTTGCTTGAGCCACGCTGGTTAAAGGTACAAGATCTTTTGGATCGGGAGTTTGATCAAACTGCCAAGCTTGCTTCATGCAAAGGCCGCGTAGTGATATGTAATTCCACTAACGATCGCAGTAGCCTTGAGACGATTCGAGAAGCATTTGAGTGGTCATTTTCGGATGAATTCACGGGCGTGCAAAGGTAACCAGCTATGTCATTCTTGAACGACGCTGAATTCAGCAAGATGTACTTCTATCCGCAGGACATCCGTTGCGAGTCGGCAATAGACGTAGCCGTCAACGGAGTAACCTTACGATGCGTATACCATCAAAGTGATCCAAGCCTGCCAACGCTGATTCACTTTCACGGCAACGGCGAAGCGGTTGAGCACTACGTTCAGATGGGCTATGTGCCGAAGTTGATAGCCGAAGTTGGCGACATGAATATCTTGCTGGTCGAGTATCGTGGATATGGAGGAAGCACGGGTGATCCGCAACTGGTGGCCATGCTGGAAGACGGAGAAGCCCTAGTTCATGCGTTGAATCTTGATCCGATTCGGTGTGTGGCTTATGGCAGATCGATCGGTTCGCTGTATGCCTTGGAACTGGCTAGCCGCTTTCCTAATCTGGGAGGGCTGTTCCTTGATAGTGCCATTGCCGACGTGCAGTACCCTTTTATGATTCGACTGTTGGATGAACTCCTTACGCCGGAGGGCATGGAGCGACGGCAGCAGATTCTGGCTGAGGTAAATCGTTACTTCAGTCATCAATCCAAGATCGCAAACTTCCGGGGTAAGTTGGTCATTTGCCATACGGAGCGCGACCAGATCATTCACGTTGAAGATGCTAAGCAGCTTTACATGTGGGCGAGCACCTTCAAGAAAGAGCTGCGAATCTACCGGGAAGGCGATCACAACTCGATCTTCCATTTCAACAGCCGCGACATGCTGTTTGCTTTGAAGCGACTCATGGCTTCGATTGCTCCACAATGTTATTCATTGCCGGAGACATCAGACGAAGAGTTGATCATGGCAGCTTTACTGCCAGGTGAGAAGTATCGGCGAGAGGCCGACGTGTTTTCTCCTGCGTTGCCGGAGTGGGGTGACCCGTACAAGCGACCAACTCCTAAATGGATGAAGCCGCTGCCCGACGTTGATCAGATTCGACGACCAACCGAAGCACCGGTTGTAAGAAGTGAGCCGAGTCCGAAGCGAAATGTATTCGAGAGACTTAGTAACTGGTTCGTGAAGAAATGAGGGGAACGCGAAACGCATCGCTGGCTTCGCCAGCGAGTGGGGCGGCTCCGAGGGGACGGTGGAAGTGAGTGAAAGAGGCGTGCGGCGGGGCGGCGAGGGCAGAGCGACCGCAGGGGAGCGAGGCCGCGACCGGGGCGGGGCCGCAAGCTGTTTCAGCAGCGTAGTCGGAGCCGCCCCGGTCGCGGACGTTAGTCCGTCGACGCCCCGCCCTCATAGAGGCGCTGAGTCTGGCTCTGCCAGCCCCTGACAGTGTCGATTGCATCGACCTGAAGAGCGACCTGTTGAACGACCCGCTAACAGGTCATCATTAGGTGTCGTGAGATTGCCTGGTCGGATAGTTTTTGACGTTGCTCGGCTCTTCGTTACAATGCTGCCTGGAGATCATTATGGAAATTCACATTCCCCAAGAAGCAGAGTCTACTGTACGGGAATTGGCAATGCGTGCCGGGTTTGGGAGCGTTCAGCTGTACGTGCTGAGCTTGATTCATCGTGAGGGTGAGAGAGTGGCTATTGAAGTCGGTTTACAGGAAGCCCACGCAGGAAAGCTTCGTTCGTTCCAGTCATTCGACGAAGAGTTTCGATCGAGAAAGGACATTCCTGCTGGGGTGGGGCTTAGAGGCAGTGATTTGACTTAGTGTTTATGGTTTGGCCTCCGGCCGGAAGCGATTTTTCTCCGCTTGCTCGAACTGTAGCGACTGCTAAATCACCAGCTTTCCTTTGAGGTGTCAACGCTTAGCGTTGGCATGAATAACGACTCCCCTGTTCCGTTATCGAAATTTTCTTTCAAGCAATCCGGGCTCAGCCCGGCTTTTGTTTCAATAAGATTTGTAAACAGTACTTTGGCGTAGACATTATCAATCGCAAATGCGGTTGAATGCAGGCGAAAAC